TGCAAATATATATTTTATTATGTTACCTACTTTCATACAGTCTTCGACAATTGTAAACACATAATTTACTCACTAATCAACTTTGTTTCTTCTTCGTGAAGAATTCCTTACTTAGCCTATTATTTGTTCACATGCTCACATATAGTCCCCTGATAATTTTAAAAACATACTTTACATTTATATGTTACTGGTCACCTTATTTTGCCAAACATTACATCTTAATGATATCCTCTTTTATGCATCAAATCCCTACCTAATCATGCTGATTTCGACCATTCGTCCCTCTCATTAATGGTTCTAATGCACAACAATGCCTAAAATTAACGTTGTAACTCTAATCTCTCCATGGTATTCATCAAGCTCCAACCCAGATGACAGGTAAAATAGAACTATAAAAATGGAATGTACTGATAAACAAGATATAAAAATAGTCCGTTAATTTGGTGATTAGAGTCTTCGTGATTTAATGTTGTTCAATAATACCTCTCAAGAATTCAAGGCGTGAAGGAACCTTCAGAGCAATAATATTACTTAACGACGAGGTAATAATATTAACACGTTTACTGACCTTATTATTTTATTTTTCATTTTTATTGAACTTATACCCCCACCCAATTGCACAATACTAGGTAGAAAAATCAAAGAAACACTATTTAATAAACATATCTAAATATAAAATCACTCCTTGAAACCAAATAAGAGTTAGTACATTGTTCAATCTCTTAAATTGTGTTGACCACAACTACTATCCGTACATAAAGAAGTTGAATTGGCATTTACAGATAACATAACCGTAAAGGCAACTGACATTGAGATTTTAACACACAAATTCTCTAATTGTTTTGTATCATTGCATCATGTGGATAAATTACCTTATGGTGGTATTCTAGATAATTGTCCACCAAAATAATTTTTTATTTAATTTCATGCACCATTACTTAATTTTTACCACTAATTTACATTACCTATTCTAAGATTTTATTGTGTTTTAGTTTAAATGAATCCCCTCATTGAAAAAGAATATAGCAAGAGACAGGACATAGTTGTTACAAATGAGCAGTATGTTTGAAGATGCCTAAACTGCCATCAATATAGAGATATGGGGAAGTATTAACATCTTGCTTCTAACTAATAACCCAGCATGGAGCATACAATTTTTACTCGATGAGAAGATTTTGGAGAAAATGAAGGTGCTTTTTTAGAAAAGATAAAAGATAATACTTGATTTATGTGACCTTAGAATCCTAATCTACAAAAGTATTGGACAGACTATTGTATGTTTTCTACTAAACTGAGTATAGTTGTGGTTTCTAATTTTAATTAAACTCTTGTCAAGCTAGGCACCTTTGAAATATCTACTCTTTCCATGAGTAGCATCTTCATGAACGCATCCAATGACCTGGTACATTACATAAATCACACAATGTTCGGCAATGTTATTTAAAACGTTTGTCACATCTAATGTACATACTATAATTTATCATTGTAGGCAGGTTACTTTTAAAGATTCTATAACAGGACACAATTGTTCTGTTACCATTGTTGAATAATTAGATACTAAAATTGCTAAGATCCCAAACGCATTGCAACGAGCACATCTTACTCAAAATGGTTTATACAGTTAACTAATCTTATCAAATACAAGAATGAAATGATAAAGGCTAAATATAAAGATTTAATGGTAGCACCAAAATGAGAAGAGCAAGAGAAATTCTGTTGGTAAATAATATGGATGGATTGCTAGCTGATTCAGCAGTACATACTACCCTAAATACTTGTACTCTCTAAAAGTAATAGCCTTTTTACTATCAAAAATACAATCACAAATATGGTATAATGTCAATTCGCAGGATTGTTTCTACAAGTTCAAAGAAACAATTGTAGACATACTGAATAAGGATGAGACATGGTATTTGTCTTGGAAAATGTGCAAAAAAAATTGAAAGATACAGAACATGCTGTATCTTGTAACAATTCCAACTGTGCGAATGTATAATATTAAATGAGGTTAGACTTAGTAAAAACTCGATTCTACATTTAGTAATTAGGAAACAAATTAACTGCGGCTTTTAAATGACTCCCTTTTTTAAACAGAATTGCTTATGACTTGAAGCGTGTGGTGGAGAACAACGTGCCTGAGTTATATTATTTGAAGTGTCTAAATATTGACTAGGCTGCTACGTGCAATACTACATAGGATCAACCTCAATAACGATATAAATTGTGCTATACCTAAACACCTAAACACCCAATGACCTCTGTCGCATAGGTATGTTGTCGAATGTATCATAACATTTACAGTTATCTTATGGTGATAGTTTATAGCACATACGGGAAAAAAATTGCTGGATTGCATATACATAACATTTGATAATTCATTTAATTGCACACATAGGTTAGTTTTTAAAGGAAATGTTCCCATCGTGCTGCTTAGCAAACTGGGCCTCTCACATGAAATATGAAATAGCACATAGTTGATTAGTAGAGGTTTGACTAGAATGTCATACATACAGAAAAAACAACAAGTCAATATGCCACAAAACTATTGTTTACTCTTACAATAAAACTATAACCACCCCCTTCCTCGTTTTAAACAAATATTACTTACAAATTGATGTGGGTGGTGGAGAACAACTTCTCTGCGTTATACAATTTGAAGTAGATAGATATTTACTAGGCTACAACATGTAAGACTACATAGAATTGACCTCAATAAAGAAATGAGATGTATTTTTTTTAAATACCTTAACACCCAATGGTCTCCGCCGCATAAGTAGTTGTCCAATACATCCTAATATTTAGCTATCTTATTGTGATATTCATAGAACAAAAGAAAACAAAAGAATTACACGATTACATATACATAACAATTGATGATTCTCCTAATTTTATATATCAAGTTTCTATTAAGAAAATGCACCGATATTGTTGCTGAGCAAACGAAACCCCTCAAATGGCTTATGTAATTGGACATTGTTGATTTGTAGAGGATTTGACCAAAATTTCATATATGCAGAAAAAACAACACGTCAATATGCCATAAACCTGGTTTTTTCTACAACAATACAAATACAACTATAACCCAACCACCAAAATGAATGATATACCTTTCAAAGTTAGTTGGAAACAATTTGTAATACGTCTATGTTTTTGCAATGATGATGAATATAGCTTAAGGTCAAACGTTATCAAATGTAGGAGTGTGCCTACTACAACATATTTTCTCGCATTACAAACTATATGTTGCACAATCTATAGGTATATCTATGCCAACAAAAAAAGTGTAGGTCATAACTGAACAACCAAATTGATGCACCGGGACATACACAAGAAATACTATATACAAGATAGTATAAGGTGAGATTTGATTAATACCAAAATTTTATGAAATTAAATAGGAAAAAACATTCACCACACATGTAGCTATTGAAAATTTTAATAGGCGAATTCTTAGGTTTGGTTGAAGCGGAGATGATATGAAAAACACTATACAATTACAAAAGAAGACATTACTTCTGCGTATATAAAGTTATTCAAAACGGGGTACACTTAATTTCAAATATTAAAAGGAACGTATAGTTCCTGACATGACATAACTAAGAGGACAAATTGTTAATTCGTGCACAATTACTTACTAACAAATTGTCTAATAACAATTTAAGAATACGACGTTAGTCACTACATGCCCAAAAAGAAAAAAAAGCAAATAGATTTTCCATTCACTTAATATTATGTAGTGAAATACTAATACATATTGATATGTTGAAAACCTAAAACATACATACAAGATATAATATCTCGTGTATATAGGGATCTGATGACTTAATCTTTACGTGCAACACACATGCAATGAATCTAGTATATAAATATATATAATTAAGCATTTTGGAGATAATACCAATAAGAAGGACATAATCGACCCTGAATGCACTTAATCATATAATGATCTTATTTTTAAGCCTACTTAGTTGTTGAGTAAGAGTATAATTAATTTTAACATTCATAAATAGAAACTCTCGGGTATATTTGATGTGATACATTCTATATATCTAATGATTATCGACTAGGAAAATTGAATAGTTAAGTCAAAACTCGTGTTATAATAAAAATAAAATGTTTTTATTAATCATTTAATATCTATGTTATATTGAAAATATTCCCAAATAAAATAGCAGTCAAATTCAATCGAATAATATAATTCTAATTAGGAAAAATCACTAAAGGATGATCGACTGGGAAAATTCAATGGCATATGCAAGGTTCGTGTGATTATTAAAATAAAAGGTTTTTATTAATCATTTAATATATTCTTAAAAAAATTTCTCAAATAAAATAGCAGTCAAATGCAATTAAGTAGTATAATTCTAATTAGGAAAAAATTCTAAATGGTGATCGACTAGGAAAATTCAATGGTAAACTCAAAATTCTTGTTATTATTAAATAAAAGGGTTTCATTCATCATTTAAAATTATTTTTTCTTAAATATTATTCTCAAATGTGATATCCACTAATTTAAGTACAATAATATATTTTAATTAAGAAAACTCTCTAAATGGTGATCGACTAGGAAAATTCAATAGTAAATGCTAAATTTATGTTAGAATTAATATAAAAGGATTTATTAATAATTTAATATAGTTTTTAAAAATATTCTTATCAAATAAAATACTGGTAAAACGCAATCCAACAATTTAATTCTAATTAGGAAAAATCTCTAAATGATGATAGACTAGAAAATTTCAATGGTAAATGCAAATTTGGTATTATTTTTAAAGTGGAACGTTTTTATTAAATATTTAACTTATCTTTTTTCCAAAGTTGTTCTCAAATAAAATTGTGGTAAAATGAAATCCAATAATATAAATCTAATTAGGAAAAACTTGAATTGTCTAATTATAATCATTAACGTCTATATCATTAAGTTATTTTTAAAAAACAATTTATTATATAAATGTCTTGGTTAAGACCAAAAATCAAAATTTCTTAGTAATAGTTTAGACATGTCAAGAAGAATTTTCAAGGGTCGTCAGAGGGTTGACATGGTGAAAATAACGAATGGGAGAAACTTAGGAGTAACATTTTCTAAGCGACGTGCTGGTCTGTACAAAAAGGCTTGTGAACTTTGTATGCTATGTGGTGCTGAAATTGCCATTGTTATATTTTCTCCGGAGGGTAAAATTTTCTCCTTTGGTCACCCTAGCGTGGAAACGCTGGTGGAGAGGTTCCTTGGGAGGAACCTTCCTCCACCAAATAACGATGTCCACAATCAACAAATTGTGGCTCATAGAGAAGCTGGAATTCGTGAGCTCAATACAAGGCTCATGAACGTCGAGGGGGCTCTCCAGATGGAGAAAAATCGTGGAGAATCCCTTCAAGAAATTAGGAAGAAAGCTGATGGTGTATGGTGGCAATCTCCTATCAAAGAACTTAACTTGTTCCATCTTCAACACTTGAAGAGGGCATTGGAAATTCTAAAGCAAAAGGTTGTAAAAGAGGCACAGATGGTGAATAATAATGCATTCCCATTTCAGACATTAGGAAGTGCTTGGAGTCCTCCTAATTATACAAGCTAAAGTTCTTCACATATACTCAATGTTGGTGTACCCTCTGCTACTAGTTCCCAGTTAATAGTTCAGCTGTTATTCCTAGTGTGCGCGTTATGGAATTGTTGAAAATAAAATAGTATATTAAGTGTTTAGGTTCATTTGTCATTTGAGTTATCCCATATGTTGAGTTCATCAGTTATTATTCAGTTTAAGTCAGTACTAAGGGTTGTGTTCACCATGTAATGCGTATCTGTTATGATTTAGTAATTTTAATTTTATATGTTATGTTATTACTCCATTTGACATGTTGATCTTCTCCTTTGAATTACTTTACATATTAATATCTTTTTCATCAAAGACTACAAAAGTCTGGGGACTCTCCTCTTAGCAGATCTGCTTCTACAATTCGTACATATTTTAAGTTGTGAATTACAACATCCTCATTTGGTGTCCAAACTATTCGAGGGAACCATTGGAGACTGGGAAAACTAGCCAAAAAATTCATAACTTCTCATGGAATACAAGTCCTTTTTATCGGAATCCCTCGAGACATTTTTCATATCTCATCCCTGTCGATTCGACAATTACTTATCTTCAAAATATATTTGAAATGTATAAGAGGAGGTATTACACAAGAAAATTCATATTAATCAATTTAATATACATCAATTATCTAAAGAAATTTGAACTATAAAACATTTGTTTTGGAATATCTTATTGCATTGAAATAAATGTGGAAAATCAAGACATAAAGACTTACAAAAGACTTTATATGAGGTGGAAAATCAAGACATCTCACATAATCAGCAACATCTTGAGCCGAGTTGTTAATACAATTCGGTTTCTATTGTCATCATTTGTAAATATATAATGCACTTGGTCCCATGCCTCACCACTCAATATATCATCTTTGACAATTAGAAATTTCCTACCCTTCAAATTTCTATATACAATTTCCATTAGTTGATCACTGCTCATTTCTTGATTGCTTCCTTTAATGGAAGAGACAACTTCAAGTAACTTTTGTCTCTCATTGTATTCTTCGTAAATAGTGACCCATGCATGTTTATTAATTGAGAAATTATATATGATCAATCATTATAAAATCTTTTGGGAAGAGGTATTATACCTATTCCGTCCATACCAGAAATTGGTACAACAGTTAAATCGTTTGTTTTTTAAGTATAGTTTTGAGGTCATCCTTAATCCCAAAAAAATATTATCTTCAAAGGCTACATCTTTATCTGGTGAAGGTGTTCTTGCTTGTTTTGTATATTTGCTTCAATGTTTCTAAAATTCAATATTTGCCACTTAATAAACGCCTTTTTCAACTTTCAGAAATTACTCCTCCAAGTATTTACAAGCCCCTCGCCCCTTTTCATGAATCTTGACTTTGTTATGTCGTTTGGGCATGAATTTAAATAATAAGTAAGTTAGCCGTAATTGGAAGAGTCTAAATCCGACAGAACACAATACCTAAATATATACCTAGTAGGTTGGGGTCGATCCACGAGGAAAATGACTTAGACTTAACTTCAATTATGAATCAACTCTATTTTGCCAATTTCTTTCCGAAAGCAAGTAATTAAAGGAGGGAGGGGGGGGGGAGGGGTTATGAAACAATTTCCTTAATCAATCTATGTTAACAACAAGTAAGCAAAAGTAAATATTGAGTTTCTATCATGTTGTGAGACTAACTAGGGTATATGTGTTCCCAACACGTTCATAATGCCGTATTCCTAGCAATAGCAATTATTTCCTAGTGTTTTGCATGTGAAGTGGTAAGTTATGTATCTCTAAATCCTTTGTCCGGCATCTAGAGAATTACATTCAATACCTTTGTCTGGATACATGTGTATAATTTACTAACTCTTACCTTTACGTCATATTAGACATCATAATCAATATATGACTTAGTTATTACTTCGTACCAATCTACACTAGCCTATTAGATAGTATTACACTAAATCTATGTTGATAATTCTTTTATTATTCCTACCCCCTTCGGACGACAAGTAGAAACAGGGCAAATTCTAATGCGTGCACTCGTTAAAAAGACTTCTATGGGCAAGAATTATCAATACATGCAAGAACCTATTTCAGAATTGCTGATATGCTATGTTTACTTGTTAGGTTTCCACAACCCTAGTTGTGGATTTAGTAACCCATTCTATCAAGATCACAATTCATAGTCTTTAAAGAAGGATTCATGAACTTACTTAACACTAAAAAAACACAGAAATTAAACAAGTGTACCAAGAGGGTATGTAATTAGAAGAGATTTAGAGAAATTCCTTTGAAAGAGGTATTAGTACATGACTATAGAGAGTTCGACAGCCATGAGATAAACTTCTCCTAAGTGTCACCGTTAAAGAGTATGTAGACAAGTTTAGAGATGTGCAATAGGTCCATAATTTTCAAGTGTTAGATTTTGACCTAAGGGGGAGATGATAAGATGAGAAATAGAGCCAAGTTTTTGAGAATTTATTAAGGAGATGGTTGGTAGGAGTCCATGCAGTTGTTAGGGTACTAAGCTTGAATTTGTTGTTGTTAAACATTTGGTGGATTCTTGAGATGAGAAATGTGGTGGTAAAGAGTAATAGTCTTTGGAGGAGATTCCCTATAGAAAGGTATGGAATTTGAACTTAAGTATTTGGGTTTAGCTTTAATATATATAGTGAGAGCAGACAATTAGATTCAAACCTTAGTAATAGTAACCCGTTCTATACCAATTACATTCATCTATCGAGGAAGAATGATCCCAAGGGGGAGATAATGTAACACCCTTGAAGTTTTTTTGAGTTATGACTCAAATCGTTCTTCGTAGTGAAAGAGAATTTACCAAGGAATTAAAAATTTCTTAAGTTTTGAGGTCAGGTATGTAGCACTTTGAGTTCCAAAAATAATTAAATTGGAAATAACAAAAAAAATGATTTTTGGAGAGTTAAGTTAAGTATGACTTTAAGTCAATTTCAAACGACCATAACTCTTAGTGCAGGACGAGTTAGGTGTGATACAAGATACCATAAGAAATATCATTGAATTATATTTCAAGTCCACCGAATTTGCTACATTTCGGGATCGAATAAGTGATATATGACCTTTTGAAGTTAGGTTGTGCACCCACATTCCAATCATGATTTATTTTATCTTAATTTGATTTTAAAAACTTAATGATTTAAGTTCTTGATGAGTTCTTGATAAGTGTTCCTAAAGTATCATTATGTTTTGATGTAACATTCTACGTACATCAACTTTAAATGACCATATCTCTTAGAATATTAAGAGTTTGCATCAACAATAACCTATACAATTAATGGTAATTGAATCTACTTTACAACACCACCAGTTTCACATCAATCCAATTTTTGAGTAAAACATTATGACGATTTCAGTAACCTATATAGTGTTGTTACGAATTAGTCGACGAGATGATATTAAAAAGAGTCATTTTTTTCTCTTTACCTGCAAGGAACCCTAAAAAAATTTCTTAACTAATAAAGGTCCAAAACAATTAAATTTTCATCTTTACTAATGAATATCATTATTCTTGTCCAAAGAGATTTCAAGAAACCAATTCAAGAATTTCAAGATAGGTTATCTTGATCATTTACCTTCAATCTATGGTTTCATGGTTTCTATTCAAGTTCTTATCCAATATTATTAAAGAACCTTGTTCTTTCTATCTAAAATTATTCCTAACATGTTCATCACCTTTAATTAATAATTAAAATCAAGGTAGAGTCAAGAGTTCAGTTTTTGAGAATTCATTCAAACGTTCTATGAAAGTCCTTGAAAGGAGTCTTCTACAACTTCTAATGATTTGTTTCAAGAATCAATCAAGTGGGCATGTGAGTGAATAGAATGTATTAATGAGTCTACAATATCACCTAGATCCTTCATATCATGAACCATAACTTTTGAATTAATAATTCACATTCAAGAGAGAGTTAAGAGTAAAGTTCAAGAAAACCTTTGAGTTCAGTCATGAATTTTTTGAGATACATCATTGATTTGAACTATGATTTGAGGAAGTAAATAAGAGAATGAGAAGAGTTTCATGCCCATAATTCTGCATGAACCCTATGAGTTGAGCTTGAGTCATTGAGTTAAGTAGTTGATGTTCATTATTTCGCATGAACCCTATGAGTCGAGCTTCAATCCTTGAGTATAGTAGTTCATGCCCATAATTGTGCATGAACCCTCCGATTCTAGAATACTTGAGATGTGTAGTCTCATTGACTCCTTGAGTTCTTGATTTGCTGAGTTCCAAGAATTGAGTTCTATGCATGGTTATTGAAAACCTTGAATTGAGTCGTTCATGTTCATAATTTGACATGAAACCCTATTTTAAGAAGTGTTTTTACAGATTGTTTTAAAAATTGTTTTAAAGAGTTGAGCACTGAGTTGAAAAGAATAAAGTTGAAGTTCTGTTCTTCAAAGAAGTATATGTGGACGAAGTATTCCGAAAGAGATTAAAAATGTTTTCACATTATATAAGAACCAAAACTTAGATTTCCACAGAGCTTTCGGGCTAGTTTTCAGAAAAGAGTAATAGATTTATATATTAAGTAAAAGAGGCAATTGAGATTTCCAAGATAGCCTTTGAGCCATGTTTTTGATCACTTATCTCAAATTACAGAAGAAATCTATTTTTAAAACATAAGATCTAGTATATTTTGGGAGTAGTATTGCGCACCGATTTTAGGGCGAGCATGAGTTTAGATAACTCACGTCTCCGTAAAATCATGTGGCCACCATGGGTTGAAAAGGGTCATACTTTCTAGATGAATCCATTTCACAATAGACTAGTGGATCAACTAAGTGAAGTTAGGTCCTATAATGATGGCAAGGTATACGATGGCACCTGGAAGCGTGAAGTGAAGTGTTGTATCATCACTATAACTCTTAAATGATGGTTGTCTGTTAGAGAAAACCCCGCAGAAGTTATTGTATTTTTATATACAATAGTTAAATGTATTTTCCTATTCATTTCAGAATTATTTTGTGTCCTAGTTATATACACA